ATAAACGAGAAGGTAAGTGCGCGCATCAACAGAGGAAGGAAGAACGTCCACTTCCAACCAGGAGACCTAGTTTGGATTCACCTTCGGAAAGAGCGTTTCCCCACGAAACGCAAGTCAAAGTTGCTGCCAAGAGCCGATGGCCCGTTTGAAATCATAGAGAAAATCAATGACAATGCCTACAAGATTAACCTTCCAGGAGATTATGGAGTATCGGCTACTTTCAATATCAAGGACATCAGCCCGTACTTTGAGCCTGAAGAAATTCCGAGTTTGAGGACAAACTCTTTTGAAGAAGGAGAGGATGATATACCCCGGGCGACTACCAACGACTCTAAAGTCGTTAAACAAATTAACGGAATAATGGCTAAGTGTTATGATTCCTTTTGGACTGAACTTTTCAATCATAAAACCCGCCACATAGCCATAATTTCATTGAGCCCAACTCCAACTTAAAAGGCCCAGCCATTCTCATCCAATCCAAACCCAAAAATATCCAAAATAATAAACCCAAAACTACATTTATTTTTCCTTCATCCCTGGCCAAAAACCTCATGCCACAACCCTGCCAATACCACTCCTTTACACCTCAACTTGACTAAACAAACAGCCATAAAATCCAAGACACCTTGACCCACACCCACACCCACACCCACACCCTTCAATTCCCCATGTTTTTACCCCATATCCAGCCCAGGAAATACCTCCAAATAACCTGCTACCCCACCCTTTTCTCCTGCCCAAAACAACCCCACCTAAGCCAACCAATTGTGAATTATATTCACATATTCCCTCCCACCACTAATAGCCAAAATCCTGCCCTACAAGTACAATAATCCCTGTGTTTTTCCCACTAAAGGAACATCAGCAAGTGGCCATTAATTTCTTTAATTTGTGTGAATAAGGGACTTGGTAGTCTCCCTTTTCTATGCCTATATAAGCTCATCCCTGAGCATTGTAAACATAGATTGTATTCCCAATTTCCAACTTAGTAATACACTTGTTTGTGTGTTCTATCTTAAATTCCTAAATCTATATCTTAAGAGTGGTTCTCTTTAGTGTAAGTTTTAGGTTCTAGTTATTTAGATAAGTGTGTCATATCTTATTTAAATACTAGACTCAACCCCAAGTTAAGATAAGAGTGTGTAATATCTCTTAACCCCAACTTGGTAATATTCATCCCTGATTTCCTTCCACCCCATATCCCTCCATTTCTCATTCTGAAATCCCCCTCTTTTCTTCCCTTAACATATAAAACACCCTATCATTCCTTCCCATAACTTCCCTATGTTGAAACACGGGCTTGTCACGTTTTCGTACTAAAGCCGTGTTCGTTTTTTTAACAGGTTTTGATAATGCCAAACCGCCGTGATCAAGTCGAACATTGAATATACAAGGCGAAGAACGAAGATAAGAGCAAGAGCTAAACGAAGACCAAGAACGAAGACCTTAATCATAGTATTGAGTCGGTCTTTATTGTGATCAAGACCGACCCAATCTTTACACCTTGGCTCTTTAGGCTAAAAACTCTCATCGCATTTCTTACATCATAAAAATGGTTTTAAACTTGTTTAAGTCATTGAAAACACTTGGTGTTCACCCAAACCAAAAACCAAGCCATCCAGTGTTCGGCTCTCAGAAACCAGCGTTCGGCTTTCGGTTGTCGGGTTTGGTTTTTGGCATCCGAACCAACCAAGTGGTTTTCAGCATTTTATGATTTGCTTTCACACTTTGGCATGTTTAAACGGTTCTCCAACAAAAACACTTTGAGAACCTTCTCTCGCTTTTAGTCGTTTGACAAAAACAACGCAAAACGGCGTAAACTTGGCTAGCCGTGGTTTTTACTCAAATGACGTGTTTTTTAAAAGTGTCTCACTTGATTTCTTAGACAAATACATCAAATAAGTGTTTTAAACACTTGGTTTTTATTTTGGAGAACTTTGGATTTTTCGGTCGGTTTTTGCATCGGTTGGCTAGGCCGTGGTCAAGGCAAAAACCATAGGTTTTTGGCTAACCACCCACCCAGCGATGGGAAGAACATCCCATCGATGGGTAAGTAGCCCCTTAATTAAACCAACTTCCACAACCATGCCAAACAGCGATGGGAAGCTCTACCCATCGCTGTTCAAGCCTTGGTCCAACATTATCACAAGACAGAATGCCCTTACCCAGCGATGGGAAGCTTTACCCATCGATGGGAAGGCTAAACCATCGATGGGAAGCATGACCGTTGGAAGTCATTTAAGGTTGATTCTTTCGTTCTTTGGAAGTCAACCTCCCACCCAGCGATGGGAAGCTTGTACCCATCGATGGGTAGGTAACCGGTGGCTTCAAAACTGAAGGAAAATTGGCTTACCAGCGATGGGTAAGTTCCAAACATCGATGGGAAGCCAATATCCTGCAGATCCCAAATTTATTCAATCCCATAAATCAAGCCAATCATCCCTTTAATGCATTGGTCCGTTGGAGCCTATTTTGGCACTATAAAAAGGGGTGTTTGGGTTTGCTTTTCTCACCAATTCACTTCACAACATTCATACTTTCATTGCACTCAAATATCATCATTTTCCATAGCTTGCTAGAGCCATTTTGTGTGAAGGTTGAGTTGTTCTTGAGCGTACATAGTTTACTCAACATCTACTCTTAAAGAGAGTCTTGTTCTTGAGTGTCTTAGTGTTGTATACACGTTAAGGGAAGCTTGTTTCCCTTGGTTGTACGAAGGAAAGGTATTTTCCTTCGGGTTGAAGTCTTGGAGTGCGGTATCTCCGAGCAAGTGTTGTTGAGGCTCGTGGGACTCGAGTTCTCAGGTTGTAACGGTTTGTTAAGCACCCGTAAGCTTAACGGAAGTAGTGTAGCTCGAGAGAGTCTCTCGGGAGGCTGGATTAGCCACAAGTTGTGGTGAACCAGGGTAAAATTCGGTGTGCCTCTTACTCTTCTCT